AAATCACGTGGGGATGATGCCTTTGCTGCTTCTGCAGCTGAAAGACAAGCCCTCAGACCCTTTCTGTTGGAGGAACACTTCCTCAGCAAAGTGCAGCAGGAAATCCGAAGATGAAAATGATGAAACAGAAGGATGCCTAGGGTTTTCATCGGGAGAGGTAAAGTCGCTCCTACTAAGATATCACCTAGACAGCTGAAAAATATCATTGCCCATTGGCCAAAGAATGTAAATACCACCCCCGCCCTTTAGAGGACAAATAAGAATAATTCTTCCTTCCAGAGACATACTCCTTGGCAGACCTCCCCTGTGTCCCATTTCGTTTTGGCTCTTAGGGGCTGGGCTGGAGAGGACAAGGTGGGAGGCGGGAACAGCCCCACTAAGGGGAACTGCCCTATGGTCAGTGAGGACATTCACTTTGTCTCCCTCCGGCCTCTGCTCCTCTCTAGTCTTCTGGTTCCTGGGACACTGCTGAAGATTCAAGACACTCCAGGGATCTAATCTCAACAGTGAACAACTCTGTTCCATAGAAATGAAGCCCAGGACCATGGTTTCTCTGGGACTCAGTTAACACCAGGTGTGAGATTTGTGAGGCCAGGACCAGCCACCGAGGGGGCCAATTCCTGAATGCTATTTTTGCAGATCCAATTTCCTGACAACCCCTTAAAAAGTCTACAGGGAATATGTATCTGGGTTTGATGTTTGTCTGAGCCAAAGCCAATCCCATGAACTAGCAATACAGAAATATCCAGCCCCTGACACTACCACAAAAGCAGACTTGATTCAGAGGAATTTCACCCACACTTCCTACAAGACACCTGGCATTCTGGCATTGTCTTTTTTCATTAAATGTGGTTCTTAAGATGCATCTCACACCTTTATTTGGCAAGGGGCATCCTAACACTAGTCCTTCCTACATAACCTACACACTAAACTCCTGTTGAGCAAAGAATAGCAACACCAGGCCAACACTTTCTTTAAACAGGGGCCTCCGCCCGTGTGTGAGCTGAGCAGTGCTAGCCACTGGACTCCTCAATCCAAGGTGAGGATGAGGATGAGCATACATCCTACTGAGGTGAAAGAACATGCATTTTTCGGCATAAAGGATACCAAGGACCTTATTAATAATAGCCGGGTGATCAAGGCTTCAGAAACGAAGCCCATCATTGAATAAACCAGCTCCTTCACTGATATTAGGACTGAAACACCGCAAACCTGCAGACTTCATGGGAAGGAGGAAGTGTCCCAGAAGCTCCTCTATTCCAGTTCACATTCGTCTCTCTGTGCAGGGAGCTAGAGTCCACAGTCCAAATTCAAGACTCTGTAAGTGAGCATTCCAGCCATCTAGGTTTCTCAGACTTCAGCCCAAAACCTGAAGAGCACTTGCTTTGACTATGCTGATTTTGCCAACACAAAAATCATGATAATGCTGAATCATAACACCAGGAGGCTCCTGTCACCATACAGAGGATTCTCTACATGGAGCTTCTGTAGTTCTATGGCCTCTTCTTTGTTATTGATTTACTGGGGGCTTGGGGACCACACTGGTGCTGCTCAGAGGTTATTTGTGGGTCTGTGCTCAAGAATGCCATATGCAGTGCTACTGAACAGGGTTGTCATATACAAAGCAAGAACCTCACCCCCTCATATTATATCTCTGGTCCTTTTTAGTTACTGGGGGAGGCATGTGTGAGGGATTATTACCCTAACTTCTTATCTCCTAAGAAATGCACCCTCGGAAGGGGTCAGTACCTTCCCAGAACTGCAAGCCTTAGAAATCTTTTCATTCCACTGAATGAAAAGCTGAAAATTGCCTTTTTGAAAGTGCCCCCCAGTGGTGCTGGCTGGATCCTGCATCCCAATATATAACAAAACCTCTTCTCTCTTCTGATGCCTCTTTCCTGAAACCTGCGTCCAGCAATCTCAGTGCACCTAGGCAATTTCTTCCTCAGTTTCTCGATGCACTCTCTGAATAGCTAGAATGCTCCCTTTTCTTGAATGTGTGGATGTGCTCACTTACCAATGTACCTCTATGCTTTTACGCTTCTGATTTTTGTTTTTTATTTCAGTTTGATTTGGGGTGGGGTGGGGAGGGGGGCGCACCTGGCAGTACTCTGGGTTTACTCCTGGTTCTGGGCTCAGGGATCACTCCTGGTGGGGCTAAGGGGACCCTATGTGGTTCTGGGGATCAAATCCAGGTCAACTGCATGCAAGGCAAGTTTTCCCTGCTTTCCAACCCGCATCTTTTGCCTTTTTAAAATAAAGATTCACACTGATAGTGAGAACAACTGTAATTTTAAACCATCCTTTGTGTGAGTTAAGATGCTGCAATACACAAGAAACACAAACATTAATCCTTACTACATGATCGTTGCTCAAATATAGAGGAAAGGTAATTCATTAGCACCTCCTTCCATCCTCACTGGGGAGATCCAGGTGCAGACACTAATACTCATGGGGAAGATCTAAGTTCACACTTGATTTCAAACCCACCAGTGCCCATGGAAGCTTGTTGAAGGCATAAGAAATCCCAGGTGGGATAACAAGACAGAGGCCCAAGATCAGCACTCATTTATATTTAACGATTTTATTGTAGCTTAGGTAATATGGTTACAATAGTATTAACACTTATGGTTTCTTTTTGTTTCTGGTTTGGGGGCCATACCAGGCAGTGCTCAGGGCTTACTCCTGGCTCGGCACTCAAGGATCACTCCTGGCAGGGCTCAAAGGAACATATGGGATTCCGGGTTGAACCCGGGTTGGCGACATGCAAGGCCAACATCCTCCCTGCTGTACTATCACTCTGGCCCCTGAATTAGCAATCGAGCATTATGGCGATGCTACTGCTGCTCTAAATTTATTTTCTTTCTTTCTTTCTTTCTTTCTTTCTTTCTTTTGTTTGGTGGCCACACCTGGCGGTTCTTGGGGCTTCCCCCTGGTTTTGTGCTCAGGGATCACTCTTGGCGGGGCTCCAGGGGACATTATGTGGTTCAGGGAATGGAACTCAGGTCAGCTGGATGCAAGGCAAATGGTTTACCCAGGGAACTTATCTCTCCAGCCCCTGGTGACCTGATTTTAGGAAGAAGGGAATGAGACCCTGCCCTGCAGAGTCCCAATGGGGGCGGGACAGCCTGTCCTGGCAAAGACTTTAGGAGCAGAGTCCACCTGACTCTCGGGGAGGCTAAGATGACAGACTCTGTCCCCTGGGAAAGGCACAGTCATGGTGAGACTGTGTGGGCGAGGCCCCTCGGGCATCCCCAGGCGGTGCATGTCCAACTCTGCATCGAACTCCTCTCCCCACCCTACACCCAGTGCTCTCTGACTCCCGTGAGCCATAGCGCTCAAGTCTGCCTGAGCTTCTCACTGGAGAACACATCCTGGTCAACATCTGAGCATCCTGCAGCAGGAGGAGTGAGAGGCCCTCCCTGGCCTCCCAACTCCCAGCCCTAATCTCCTGCTACATTGCCAGTGTTTCCTAGCTGAGTGAACAGACACATCCTGTTCTTCTATTTGTCTGTCCTGTGTGCTCCTTAGTAGGAGCTGGTATATGCTACATGTTAGTGATCTGTTCACAAAGTCAAGAAATTTTTCAAAACAATAGAAAGAGATGAAAACTCCACCCCCGCCACCCCAGTTTCTACTATTAAATATATGTTACTTAAAATTGTAACCTTTTTTCTTTTCTTTATTTATTTTGAGCAATACCCAGCAATTATTGAAAGCTCTTTCTTGTTGGGTGCTCAGGGTTCTTTCCTGGCAGTGCTCAGGGAACCAAGTGGTACCAGGACTCCTGCATGCAAAGCCTGCTTGGAGTCCACTGAGCAATCTCTCTCTCTCTCTCTCTCTCTCTCTCTCTCTCTCTCTCTCTCTCTCTCTCTCTGGCCCCACAGCTTTTTCTTTGCTCTGCTGTGGGAGACTCTGCCCCTGTGGAATTCTTACAACCCCGTCATTTCTAACTGTCCCATTTCTCATTTGCCTTTCTGAGTAAGAAACAAAACCAAACTTGGATGCAATGGGATTCGCTTCACTGCAGCAAAGATTCCCTTTGATCTGGCAAGAAAGAGTCATTGATCGACCCTTAGTAAACTCTCAATGTTCAATCTGGTCTTCGAGTTTAAAAAACAAAGTTGTAGGTAGATACAAGCTATAACAAACACATCACTCGGCTTCCCTGTGCACAAACATAGAGAAAAAGGCTGTGAGAAGGGGAAAGCTTGAAGGGAAAAAAGCAGTGAGAGGAGAGAAGGGAGGGAGGGAGGGAATAGGGAGAGGAGCAGATGGAGAGAATGGAGAGACCTGAGTGATGGGAGAAACAGAGACACAGGAGAGATGGGAGATATAGGGAGAGGTGGGGAGAGATGGGCGAGATGGGGAAAGATAGGGAGGGGAGAGATAGGGAGAGACAGGGAGAGAGGGGGAGAGATGGGAGAGATGGGGAGAGATGGAAGAGATGGGGAGAGACGGAAGAGATAGGAAGAGGTGGGGAGAAATGGGAAGAGAGGGGAGACTTGGGAGAGATGGGAGAGATGGGAAGATATGGGGAGAGATGGAAGAGATGGGGAGAGACAGGGAGAGACGGGAGAGATGGGGAGAGATGGGGAGAAGCGGGAGAGATGGGAGAAATGGAAAGAGTGAGCAGGCCCTGGGCCCTGGACAGGGTTCCAGCACAGCAAGGAACCCAACCAGAGGGGCAGCCCAGCTGGGCAAGATGCTTGTCCTTTCCCCCCTGAGCTGAGACACCCCTGGGGCCACACTGGTGGTCTCTGATCAGGAGTGAGATTCGCACAGCATGCCAGCATTTGCTGTGGATTTGGGCCTCTGGCAGAGAGATAATTATGGCCCCCAAGAGACAGATGAAGAAGTTCCTCTGGGCTCAGAGACCGAGAGGCTTGAACTAGTTCTCTGCGGGTCACAGAAAGCCCAGAGGGTGGGATGTCATCCGGGGCCCACCAGGCACCACCCCTAGGGATCCCTGCCAAGTCCAGGTCCCTTCTCAGACTCACCTCCTCCACCATCTGCTTGACCTTCTTCTGCTGGCAGTGCACCATGTCATCCAGGTGTCGGATCCGCTCCCGGAGGCTGGCAGATGCCTCCTCCAGCTGCTGATACCTAGCAGAAAAGGCAGAGAAGCTTCTGAGGCTTTGTCCAAACAGCAATAGAGACGCAGTCGGAAAAGATGATCAGCCAGACCAAGACAGGGCCGTAGTGCAGCCTCCTGAGCCAGAGCTGTAGTCCAGAGTGCACAGGGCTTCCATCCCCAGCATTCTATATGTCCCCTAACCCACCTCCCAGCACCACCAGGAGTAAGTCCTGAGTGTAGAGCCAGGACTAAGCCCTGAGCATAGCTGGGAATGGCCCAAAACAAAACAAAAACAAACAAACAAACAAAAAACAGAAAGAAAGAAAGAAAGAAAGAAAGAAAAAGAAAAAAGAAAAAGACATAGTCTTCTCTCTGTGTTAACTCCTGAAACCAACATCCACCCCACTGCCCCACGGCAGAGGGAAGACCGAGCGTCTTTTCAGATTCCCACTGGCAAGTTTCACCTTGCCAGAGTCTGAAGTCCTCTTTCAACACCACAAGTTGGCACGAGAGACTCTGTAGGGGGTTAATACAGTCTTGGGACATCCAGTAAATCCCCTTGATTAGGATTAGAGAAGGAGAGAGAACTAAGGATGCAAGGAAACACCTGAAATCATGGGGCAGTGTGCTGGGATCTCTGGAATCGAGTTGTTCTCGGCACCATTTGCGGGGCCATTTAAAGGCCGTCTTTGCGGGTCGCAGAGATAGTCCTGGGGGAGGTGCTGGCCTTGCTCGGGTCACTGCTTCAGTCCCTGCACTGCAGGGCTCCCCAAGCACCACCAGGGGTCACTCCTGAACACAGAGCCAGGACTAGCCTCTGAGTACCAACACTCCCCCAGCACCATAACTATCACAAATTAAGACACTCTCTGCTTGGTTCCCAAAACACAAAGGAACTAGCAACCGAGTCCTCCAGCATGTTGGGGCAGTTCAAAGGGGGCACTGCGTGAAGGTCTGGCAGGCAGTATACTATTCCCATTTCTACCTGGTCCTCCCTCAGACCTTAAAGACTGGAGGAAACTGCTATAACTTCACAAACAAGGGAAAGGGGAGGGGAGGGAAATCTCAAGCCAGTAAGATAGTACAAGGGTTAAGACTTTTGCCTTGCATGCTGCCAAGCCCCCATTTAACCCCAAGCAGCATACATGGTCCCTCGAGCACTATTAGGAGCAATCCCTGAGCACACAGCCAGGAATAGCCACTGAGCACTTCCAGGTATGGCCCAAATACCACCAAAAAAACAAAAGAAAAGGGGGGAAAAATCCAGTTTCATAGATTTCAAAGAGTCTTGGGGACTTGCCCCCACTGCTCAGAACATCCCAGCTTGTTTCCCCTCTCTAGAAGGCCACACATAGTCTCTCTGCCTTTCAGTTTCTAGAAAAGAGTACGTGTTGCTTCAGGTACTCAGGACCAGAGGGCAAGGCCAAGAGTGGCCAAGAAGTGTTTGGAAACAACACTATTTTCAAATGTGTTTCCCAGGCACTTTATTAGTCAGGCCTGATGACTGTTCTCGTCATTAAGGCACATCCGTGAGGCCATGGTCAGGAGGACATTTCTAGATCGCCCTTTCGCATTGGCGCCAGTGTGTGCTCTGCTCAATGGCACTCACAGCCAGCCTGGGCCCCAAAACTTCCTCAGCAGCTCCTAAAAATACCAGCTCCAGTCGGGAAGCTCTCTGCCTGGACTTCTGAACGTCCATGTCCATAGGCATTGGTGACCAAACACAAGGACCCAGGGATCACACAGGAACACAGTGCCTGGCACCGAAACCCATGACAGCGACAACCATCTCACCTCTCCTTGTCGGAATCCGCGACCTCCCCCGACAGTTCTGTCTCATGCTCCACTAGCTGGAGCTGCAACTGATGGCGCTCCTAAAGCAAACAGAGACCAATATTTAACTAATGAAGTGCAGAGAACACAGGTCGGGCAAACCCAACTGCAGGAAGTTCAAGTTTTTGTCTTTTATGTCGTGCCCCTTAAAGGTTTCACACATCCCCAAAGCCCAAATGAAGCTCAGAACAGATCATTCTGCAGCCAAATCTGCAGACTACATTTATGTATTAAAGATAAATATCCTAGATGAAGGAGAACCTGATGAAGAACGTGGATTACAATACAACAGGAAACTGGGCCAGGACTGGCCCTGGCATTTGACTCCAAAACTGCACAAACACCCATAGTTGCTGTGAGATTCTGCTTTGGACTGAAGGAATAAGGTCCAGAACTGTGAGAAACAGTGTCTCTTTTAGAACTCTGAAAGAAATCTGACTCCACCTGTCACCTGGGCAACTGCCCAGGGACACACCAGCTTACTGGACAGGGGACACTCTCCTTTCTTATTGTCAAACTGTATGCTTGATAACAAAGATATCTTCCTTAGATGTAGGAAAAAAACATAACCATGGTCTCTCAGAGTTCCTTATAATTCTTGTCTAATAAATATGAATGAATCATGCTATTTTTTTGTGTGGGGGGGTGACACCTGGCAGTCCTAAGGGCTTCCTCCTGGCATAGAAGATCACAAGGAGTGCCAGGCAAGCGCCCTGCCACTATACTATCCCTGTAGCCCCAGTATGAACTAACCATGAATGCATATGTACAGAGAGGCATATTTAACAAATGTTAACATATCTAACATTTAAGCCACTTTTTTTAAAATAGGAATACTGCTATTTATTCAGCCACTGATTAGCTGATTGAATTGGGCATGAACTCCACCTTACCTTTTTTTTCATAATTTTATTTATTTTTCTTCTTATATTTATTTATTGAATCGCTGTGGGAAAAGTTACAAAGCTTTCAGGTTTAAGTCTCAGTCATACAATGATCAAACACCTTTCCCTTCACCAGTACTCATTTTTCACCACCAAGAACCCCCATATACCCCCCTCCAACCCCTCCCAATGCCTGTGAGGCAGATGATTTCTACTTAGCTCTTCTCTACATTGATTATATTCATTATTTCGACAAAAGATGCACCATTATTGTTTAGAATTCCCCCCCTCCAACAATCAGAATTGCTGAAAAGGCATTGTGAAATACTTTGTTTTCTATAGCTGATATGTGAATCATATAATGTCATATAATGATTTTGGATTTCTGCAAAGAGCCAGATCATTACGAGATTGGTTTCTGTGCATCTGGTGTTATGGCTCTGCTGGAGAGCCACTCGTGGGGGGCAACTCATGACCTTGGTCGGGCGTGAAGGACGAGCCGGTACCATCCCCCTTTCCATGAGACTGCAGTTGCCCCGTTACCGCTGGCTCATACCTGGCTTTCCAATAAGCTCTGAGGCGGCAGCCACCTTGCTGCCGGGGGAGGGGGGGTTGACGTGGGGAGGCGGGGGAGCAGAAGGGAGCAACACCCTTTCCCTCCCGGGAAGGCATGGCACTGGTAGTTTAACGCTTGGTCCATCAAGCCGTTTTTTTTTTTAAAAAGGATTCCATCAGCACAGATACTCTATCAGATACCTTTGAGGAAAATAACTTGTTTTGGGGGTCACAGCTGGTGGTGCTCAGGGCTGACTCTCGGCAATGCTGGGAAACCTCTTATGAAAATGTACACTTGTAAATAATCAATACTTTCTACCAATAGCCTGTGATATTGCAAATTCTTGATTATTTTCAAATTATAAAAAAAAAGCTCTGGAATGCAGATAATATTCTATAAGCAATCTGGGTGGTATTTAGATAAGCAGGTCAGTGTAAAAAAAAAAAGGTACTGGGGCTGGAGCAATAGCAATAGCAGGTAAGGCGTTTGCCTTGCATGCAACAAACCCAGGTTCGATTCCCAGCATCCCATATGGTCCCCCAAGCACCGCCAGAAGTAATTCCTGAGTGCAGAGCCAGGAGTAAGCCCTAAGCATCACCAGGTGTGACACAAAAAGCGGGGGAAAAAAAGGTACTATGATAGAACAATGGTTTCCCTGATAATGTCCATATTCTTATTGCTGAAATCTGTAAATATGTTCCTTTTCATGGACAATGAATGGAACTTTGCAGATGTAATTATGTTTAGGATCTTAAAATGGGAAAATTATCTGTTTCTAAGTTTGCATTCTCTTTCTAAGGGCCCAACTGAATTATCCAGTTGGGCCCTTTGAAAGAGGAAGCAGAGTCATGATCAGGAAAAGCCAGACTGGAAACTGCTAAAGCTACATGCTACATGCTGGAACTGGAAAACGGAGCTGTGAGTCCAGAAATTGGAAACAACAGGAAATGGATCCTCCCGGCTACCCTCCCAGCCACCACCTGAATTTTTTGACTTTCACCTTCCAGAACTCAGTGGTACATGTAACAACAGGTTTGTACATATTAGTGTAAATATATACATTAAAAAATTTAAGCCCCCCTCAAGAATAATATAACAATGTAGACAATTTTTTGAGTAGTGCTACCATCATAACTAAAATTGTGCTAGTAATGCTCTATAGATATTAGAAATTTAATATTTAAAATAAATGTATTTATTACTTAAATAAGCTAAACTTTTTTTAAGTCAGAAATTTCCTTAAAATGAAGCTTTTCAAGTCCTTCTTTTCAACTAGAAGGCTAATTTATAGGCTCTCCTCTAAGTGATAATGCCCCTTGTCTTTAGACTGAGAAATTCTCTCCAACAAACTCTTACCAGTCACAGAGATCTCAAACCTCTTTATCTCCAATTGTTCAAATAAATTTTTGAAAATTTATTTAACTGTGAAGCTTTGAAGTGGTTTACCAAAGGCTAGACAATGGAAGTGGAGGAAAGACTTACTCTGACCAGAAGGAAAATGTCACCATCGGTGTACTTAAAATCATAAAGGAAGACCAACTTTTAGTGAGATATTTTGCCTTGTTTTACTTTCACTTTCCCTTTGTGGCAGCTGGTGGTAGTTGCTTTTAAGTCTCTGCTGACAACTCACTTTGCTGTTGCCTGGTGAGTTGCCACAAGCTAGGAATGTGCCTTTGCACATTCCTAAATGTCCTAAAAGTGAGTCCCGCTCCACCGCCCCCCCACCCACCCAAACAAAGCTGTCACAAAGCAGGGCAACACCTCAGAGCACACTTAAAAGTTTGGATGTCTAGATTGAGGTACAGCAAAGTTTTGTGTGTGCACTGGCACACGGGCTTCTTACACACGTGTACACATCTCTGAACCCACAATCAGGATAAAGGTACGGGGCACTGCCTGCTCCACAGGAAGGGCCTCCCAAGACCCTCAGCTGTCAGAGAAGCGCATGCTCCAAATGAAGTGCTCAGGAGGAGAAATGGGTCCACAGTACAAGGCTTGAAAGAGCAAGTGCCTCCCCCCTGCCAGGCATCATGCTTGGCCCTCTGAATTCTCTCAGTGACTCTTCACGGAAGCCCGGAAATAAAAAGTAGAGAGTCATTTCCCAGAAACCAGCTAGAGCTTTGGCCCTAAAATGCCTCCCCTCTCCGAGAAGTCAGCTGCTCATGATCACCCTTCCTTTGTGACCCTTCACTTCCTTTGTGGCCTCTTTCCTCCCTCCTGGCCTTCTTCCGGCTTCTCGACTGCCAGCAGTCAACCTGCTTTTCTCCACTCTGGCATATTCAGCCCCTTTGCTCCTGCCTCCTCCTGCTTACCATGCCCCATGGGGCCGGGGTGTCCCTAGCTCTGACAATGCAGAGAAACCAGCCCTCTACGCACATGTCCCCAGAACAACAGGTTCTGGTGCTGAGGTGATTGCTAACCCAGATGTACTATTGGGCTTGAAGACCCACTGAGTAAATAAATCCTGGTGTGGGGCCCCAGTGAAACTGCTAAGGATTTCATTTTCTATAGAACCTTAGGGTTTTCAGGCATTAAAATAGTTACAATGGAAACTATTAAATGGGCCTTGTAGTATTCTTTGATTTTATTTAACAGTTTTGTCCTTTTTTAAAAAAATAAGAATATCACAGTTTGAAGGAGTAAGAGAGGTCCCTCCATTGGTATAGGAGGCTTCTCGCCCCTTCAGACAAGCCCACACACGAGGAACTGCAGAAATTCAGGGGGTCCAGGCAAGTGGGTCACAGGCAGAGAAGAGTCCGTTACCTTTTCCATGCACTCAATCAACCTGTCCAGCTCCCCGATTCGCTGATCTTTCTCCTTTAGGCTGATCTCTGCCGCCTGCATCTTCTTATTGGCTTCCTCAATCACTTTGAGAAAACTGTTGGTTTCCTCCTGCAAAAGAAACAAGATTCTCTTCAGCACAGCCACGGAAATCCCAGACCACCCAACAGCATCTGGTCTTGCTTCAACATGATGTGTTTTTCAAAACACAACCTTGGGACCCAGATGCATCTCAAAGAACTCAGCTTCCACGATTCTGGCTGGCACTCTGAAAGACACAGCATGTGGTTTTGCAGTGGGCCTGGTAACTGGTTCCCCTTGGCCCTCTGGAGTCCAGATGTCTAAGAAAGAGTGGACAAATATTTCTGATCCCTGGCTGGATGTTGAGTTCTATCTGTGTCTCTTATCGCAAAGCTCCCTGTGACTTGGATGCTGCCCAGTGCCAAGCTAGCTAGAGAAAGGGGAGACTTAGAGACAGAAATTGGGGGCTAGGGCTGGAGTAATAGTGCAGTGGGTAAAGTACTTGCCCAGGTTTGATCTTTTGCACCCCATAGAGTCCCCGGAGCACTTCCAGGAGTGATCCCTGAGTGAATATCCAGGAATAAGCCCTGAATACCACTAGATGTGGCCCCAAGAAGCACTGTACCACTGTCCTTCCACTGTTCATCGATTTGCTTGAGCAGGCACCAGGAACGTCTCCATTGTGTGACTTGTTGTTACTGTTTTTGGCATATCGAATACACCACAAGGAGCTTGCCAGGCTCTGCCATGCAGGCGGGATACTCTCCCTAGCATGCTGGGCTCTCCAAGCGGGGCAGAGGAATCGAACCTAGGTCGGCCTCGTGCATGGAAAACACCCTACATGCTGTGCTATTGCTCCAAGCCCAAAGAAGGAAAAGGAAAAAAAAGAGGGAGGTGGGGAACAGGAAATTGGTGACTATTCCAAGCAAGTATTGGGATGAATCAAGGAAGGGATGGGGAAGAGAGCAGGTGAATACATTTCTCCACCCCCTATGAGTATTCACAGATGCTCTTTAAGAGAACACTCATAAACTGAGATGTTCCCACCACCCTTGTTCATATTACTGTAATGGAAGCAACTCGGGAGTCACAACTTAGTCACATCACTCATGTGGTTACTTATGGGACTCATGGGGTTCCAACCTTTAGTTGCGGGTTCGGCCTGTAGCTGCAGCATGCCCAGATAGCAGGCTGTGGAGGCACCGCCTGGACCATGCTCGGTCCAGGGGCACTGCTGAGCTACTCAGCTTCTCCCCGCCAACCGGTCCCCTCTGCCTGATGGACCCCCCAACACCCCTCCCAACGGGTCTGATGGGGAGACACCCAGGCACCCACCCCACACGCCTCCCAATGAGTCTGATGGGGAGACACCCAGGCAGCATACACACCAGGAGGGCCTCCTTCTCAGCCCTGTGTTTCTGCTGTTCCTCTTGCAGCTTCTCCTCGTACTGACTGTACAGCTTCCGGGCCATCTCCCGAAGCACCTCGGCATTGGCTGCCTGGGAGGACTCCACCTGTACAGACACAGGTCAGACATGGCGTTGGCCGCCTGGGAGGACCCCCCTGCACACACAATGTCAGACACGGCATTGGCTGCCTGGGAGGATCCCCTGCACAGACACAGGTCAGACCACGCCCAGTGTTGCTTGGGGACCATGTGGGATGTCAGAGATATTGAACTTGAGTCAGTTGCATGCAAGGTAGGAGCCCTACCCACTGTACTATCTCTCCAGCTCCCTCTTGTTCTGCTTTAAGAAGTTTTTTCCTCTGGATAATATGAACCTCAGAAAGATAAGGTTTTAAATTCTTTAGCAGTCTGAGGTGGGCTGAAAAAATAAGACCACTTCATTGTTAGAATTGGGTTGTAGTAGAATAAATTATAAAATTAAAAATGAAAAGGTGATATATAGAAACATATGCACATATATACCTGTACATATGAGAGGAGGGAATGAGAAAGAAAGGGATATTACAGCTACCCATATTCTATTTCAGAATATATCTGGTTTTATAGATTTGACCTTGAACATAGTAAAACATAAATTATCTGATATTAAAAAATTAATTTCTGGCCAGGGCAATAGTACAGCAAGTAGGGCGTCTGCCTTGCAAGCAACCAACCTGGGTTCAATCCCCGGCATCCCATATGGTTCCCCCAGCACCACCAGGGGAAATTCTTGAGTGCAGAGCCAAGAGTAACTCCTGAGCATCGCTGGGTGTGACTCAAAAAGCAAAATTAAAAAAGATTAATTTCACAAAGTAACCAAGATCAATCATGGGAAAACAATAGTGTTTTCAAAGAGAACTGAATTACAGTGAATGATAACAGTGAACTACGGTAAATAAAATTATACGCCTAACATACCACATCCAAAAAGTAACTCAGATTGGAATCAAAATCTCAATGTAATAAACTAAAAGTACAAGTCTCTGAGAATAAAACACAAGGCCAATCCTTGCAAACTTTGGTTAGGCAATGACTTCTTAATGTCACAGAATCAAAAGTTAAAAATATAGATGATAAATTAGACCTCATCAATGTTCAATATTTAAAAGCTCTGTTAACAACCCTATCAGAAAATGGGAAGGGGAGCAGGACAATTGCTCAGAGAATGCATACAGATGGCCAAGCATTCATTCAGTAATTACCAAGGAAATACAAATCAAAATGATTATAACCTCACACCAGGAGAATGGCATATGTCAAAAAGTTTGGAAACGAACAGTGCTGGCAGGGATGTGGTGAAAAAGTGAGCCCTCATTTTCTGTTGATAAGATTGACACTGGTTCAGTCTCAATAGAAAACAGTGTAGCTATTCCTCAAATAATAAAAATGAACTTTCAAAATGACTCCATGATCCCACTCCCGGGTTATCTATCCCAAGAATCTGAAAACACTAATTCAAAAAGTTATTCGCACACCTATGTTCACTGCAGGGCTAAGAACAATAGACAGAATATGAAAACAACACAAAAGCACAAAAATATATGAGTGGATAAAGAAACTGTAACAATGGAACACTTACCAATAGAAACAGAATATTACTCAGCTATAAGAAAAGATAGAATCTTGCCATTTAATACAACATAGATAGAACTGGAGGAGTCATGTGAAGAGAAGTTGGAGGGAGGACAAATACTGGCTGATTTCAGTCAGTGCAGATAACCCATCCAGATTCATCCTTCCCATTCCTTTGGAAATATTCCCACGGGGGGGGGGTGGGGGTCTGAGCTGGCTGGAGCAGGCCCATCCAAGAGAGGAGGAAATTGGGAAAAGCTGTGAACGGTTGAGCTTGAAGTGATCACTGTGCTCTCTGCCCAAGCTCTGACGTTGCAGATGCTCCATGCCCTTGACCTGAAGCCACAGGTGGCCTGTGGCATCCCTGCTGGTGTCACTACCAGAGACGGTCTGTGGCATCCCTACTGGCTGCCTCTGGGGAAGCCGAGATACTTGCCAACTTTAGCAGGTTACCTGCTACTTACCAAAGACTTGGCAAAAGCTTTCCTTGAGGCCCTCAAATTCTCTATTTTCTGCATCACTGGCAAGTTTGGGGAGCAGCACACCAGTAAATGGGGAACCTCGAACAAAGACTGGCACCAGCTGGGAGAGAGACCCAGGGCTCTGGGTCCACCACAAATGCAGATTTCCAGAACCCTGTGTACTCTGCACCCTGCAGGTGGCAAAGCAAAGCATGGGTTTCTAACACAGGCAACCATAGGCTAGCTGAGGCGGGCTCCTCCAGAGAGCTAAGCCACCTGTGGATGTTCTCAGACACTCAACAGCACAGCTCCTGTGCGGCTATCAGGAACACAGAGGACAGCGGCAGAGAGCCGACAGATAATGTGGACTGGACCAGACCCCGCTCCTTGGCAACAGGGAAGCCAAAAAGAGCAGAGATGCCCGTCAGGAGCGAGGCCATGAGGGCGGCCGCCCACCAGCAGAAGGGTGTGGCAGGCCTGCAGGACACAGGGAAGGATTCTTCAGGTGTGGGGACAGATCAGACGGGAGGGCGGGAGGGTTTTCTGCTCCCCAGCTTGCTGCCCCGATACAGTGCAATGGCAGGGCCACACTGGAAGGTCTGGGGACTTGGGCAGAGAAGATCCAGAATGCAGGAGTCAGGTCGGAAGGGCCGACTTGGGGCAGGAAAGTGCGCTTGCGCCCAGGCAAGGTTCACAGGCAATGGGGCTGCACCAACCCCAGCATGCGGCTGTGTGGGGTAAGTTGCCATGGGAAAGGGCAGAATGGGAGAGGGGAGGAGGAGTTTCTGTGCAGGTTGTTCCCAGATAGGAGCTTCTGTGCAAGCTCCCAGATAGGAGCTTCTGTGCCAGTTCCAGGAATTACAAAAGGATGAAAAAAATCTCTGGGTGGTTCCATGAGCCGGCCTGCAGGTGCTCACCAGGTGTGAAGGTCACTTCCACCCAAGCCCCTCAGGTTGAGCTGACAGACATGTCCCAGGCTCCCCCTAAGTCAGAAACAGCCTTTTGAACGAACATGGTCTGGGTCACGCAATAAATTATGTGGCTGCACTCCAACCAATAAGGCCTTCTCCTCTGGGGAAGCCACAAACTCTAATTTCTATTTTACTTTGGCAGTGCTGGTGGCTACCCCTGTGAAGGTGTTTGGGGTCACTCCCAATGGCATTCAGGGGTCCCCCATTGTTGGAATATAGCTCCAAATATTTTAGGCTTAACATTGGTTTGCCCTTTCCCCCTTGCCACAAGGAACTCAGGTTTATTACAGTGCTCCTGAGGCACTTCCATTCCATTGTGTTTATCTGTAAATTCTTCCCTATGCTCTCCTCCCAACCGGTTAATCAGCTTTCCCCCCCAATCAGTATCTGTTCATTTGTAAGGTCAGATTCTTCTAGGACACTGAAATTGTATTGTAAGTTAATATTGCCTTTATCCTCTCCTTATGTCTTTTGAATAGTTTACTTTAAAGCAATGTCCTTTTTGTATAGATACAGGAAGACCGTTAACATTATGCTTTGTAATTTAGGATTTAATTGGCTTTGAATATTATTCACACCCGGGCATCTGCTTTCTCGACATAAGCCTCAGTTGCCTTTAATTCCTAACACCCCAAAAGCAGGGTCCTGACGAGGAACTGAATGGACCTAGGGCAAGCGGTGAGCTACCCTGGCACCAAAATGGTCCAGGCCAAAGTGCCACGATTCTTAACTATAAGTTAAGAGTTTGATCATAGACAAATGCTGTCATGATCCAAAAGTAATGACAAGACTAGGATCCTGCTAGGGGTAGGAAAGACTATCTGGCCTGAGCACTGTAGTCTGAGATTGGTATGACCCTACAAGGGCAATTCTATAAGTTTAAGGTATTTCTTACTGTATCCATACAAAATGATTTATATTATATCTGCTTATATGTTTGTTAGACCAGGAGAGGAGAAACACACCCAGGGGAATCCGCTCTAGGGTGGATTGATCTGATAATGAGGACCTGTCCTAGGAGCGGATGTCCCTGAGGGAAAGAATTCTACCCCTATTGTCTGTGATTGCACCTATGTGTAATTGTTACTCCAACCCCTCATACTTTGGGATTTAACTAGACTGTAAGAGTGGGCTGGGAGATCAGGATGAGAATCCAGACTCCTGAGAAGGAGGATGAAGGGGGATTGAGAAGGAGAATGAAGTAGCATGGGGGAGGAAGAAGCAGGAGGAGAATCAGAGGAGAATGGAGAGAGGAATGAAATAAACTAAGACCAACCAGCCTGGCCCTCGTTTCCTTCCTTCGCCTGCCCATTGCCATCGACCTCCCTGGGGTGGAGGAACCGGCTACCAAACTACCGAACGCGGGCGGCGGGAGAGACAGAGCCACCGCCACTGTGCTGTGTACTTTTTTGAGTTTATACACCCCATTGCTGGGGATCCAACCCAGGCCTCCCCCATGTAAACCCTGTGCTCAGTCCCTTGACTCCTTTCCCCATATCCCCAGACCATAATTTGGAAGTTCCAGATTCATTAAATACAAACGAATTTATTCGGGACTTCATGAGTCTCAGCCTACCACTGGTCTGAAAGGTATGTCAAGTTCAGGAGGGATGTTCATGAGAAACCCTGCTGAGGGAGTGTACAAGGGAATGGGGTACCCGCAGGCTTTGTTCCTGGGTGCCCACCAGCTCAGTCCTGGGAAGCCAGGCAGAAAGGCCCGAGCCTCAGGAACTGGAACAGTGCCTCCAGCCTCAGGCTGGGGCAGCGGAGAGCTATCCCAGCCAGGGTCCCAGGCCGAAGGAGGCCGGGGGCACTCACAAGGTACTCCCTGCCTGACTGACCGTCAGGACACAACCCAGCCTTGTCCACAAAAGGGGAGAGAACCCAAGCAAGAAGCCAGCTGCAGGAGGGAAGAGATGGAAATGAGAAGAGACAGCAAAGGCAAAAGAGGAAGGTTCGGAGGGAATGTTCCCTTCCCAACGTTACCTTCATCTTCAGCAGCTGGTTTTCAACTTGGGCCACGTCCAGCTGCCGCTGCTTCTCCCGCAGCTTGTCCATGGAGGCCTCGTACGTCTGCTGCAGGTTTCTGATCTGGTCCTTAATGTCGCTGTTGGCCAGCGTGACGTCCACGAGGGTTTTCTGTGTGGGTAGGAGAGAAAGCAGGGCTGGAGAGATAGTGTGCTATCTCTGGGTGATAGTGCTTGCTCTCACATGCCAGTCTTGGCTCAGCCCCCTGTCACCACCTAGTGTCACCGAAGCTCCACCATGAGTGTTCCTGAGCTCAGAGCCAGGACTAAGCCCTAGCACTGAGGGTGTGACCCAAAAGCCAAAAGAAAAAGAAAAGAGAAACCACACTTGATCTAAGGTATGAGGGAACAGGAACACTGAAATACAAGGACCCCCTACCCATCCTGCCACCACCTTTGTCACTGGCCACTGGGTGTGTGTCAGCACCTGGAGGTAGCCAGGCAGCGACGCCCCAGATGGCAGAGAGCCAGCCCACCCACGGTCACTGCCAACACCACTTGCCACTGCTAAAGAGCAATTGCAATGGCTTCTTTCTATGGAAAAAAGTCCCTAATATGTCACCGCACATGAAAACCGAGGCCTGAAAATAGTAAGTATAGAGCCATCCCTTCTGGGAAGAAGAACAAAATGTGTGAACATTTGCTCAACCATAATGATGTAGAGATTAAAAAAAGAAGATAACAAAATGGGAAATTCAGCATGATCTAAGTTTTCCTGATGGTCTGGGATGGAGGGAGATCGTTTTTTTTTGTGTCTGCTAACTCCCAAACAAAATCAGGAAAAGGACACGTGTTTCTGTTGACTGAAGAGTCCTCTCTGGTTTCCCTAGAGGGGCTGTCACTAGGGGAGCTTCCACACGGCCGGCTGGCACAGTGACAGCATGGCCTGGGCACAGTGAGGTCCAGGCACTCGGTATTAAAACAGTGCCCAGGAGCGGAGCTCAGTGAGCCAGACACGTGCTGGACAAGAGTCCGAGAGCCACAGTTCTCATTGTCCATAGGAGCAAAGACATTTCCACCAACATGGCTGCAATGTAAAGTCTTAGTGTCTAGTTGGCCTGCTGTCCTTTCAGAGCTCCAAAGGCCCAGAGTTCCTACATGGGGCATAGTAATGGCCCACTTCTGACTCCAGCCTGTGCTGAGTGACCTGTGGCCTTTGATGAGGAGTCTGGGGACTGGGGCATTGGACTCTCCAGCACCCGTGTCTCTTAGTAGGTTCTCTGAAGCTTCCCCATGCTTCCCATCTGGACAATCAGCCTCTCCCTCTCAAAGCTGCCTGAATCAGAGGAAGGATTTTCAGTGATGCTGAACAGGTATTTTAGAAAACAAATGGAGTCTATTAGAGAAAGGGAAGTCTTAGGAGAGTCCATTGCAAGGACATTGGAAAGCACTGACCTGGCCACTGGCCACCACACCTCCCAGACCACTGGGTCCAAAGATACCAGGCGAGTGCTTGAGCACCTCCAGCCTGGACCGTGGTTCTCTGAACACTGCTCCACCCTTAGCTGACACCTTGTGTACAACATTTTTTTTGTTGTTGGCCTTAGATTGCTAACATCAGAGAACTGCATTTCTTTGTGGCCCTGAACATTGACGGAATCAAACCAACAGCCTCTATGACTGCACTGGGAAAGCTCAGGTCCTGTCCTGAATAACAGATCCACTCAATTCTCCCTCACATAAGATTCCTGGCTACGAAGTGGCTCCCTCCTCTTCTTTTTTGAAAAATAATCATCTAACTTTTGAGGATGCAAGACCCCTCTGTTGTCCAAGAGCTCTAAGACTAAAGCGATAGTTGGAATTAACTAGGTTCCCCAGATCAGGTGGCTACCTGCCCTTGGGGGAAAATACTGGCCTCATCCACAGGAAGAGACATGGGACACCCCCACCGAGTCTGAATCCAGGTGAGGCATGATTGGTCTTGGCCATCTGGGAATGAGAACGTGTCCAAGAAGGAAGAAAGGGGAGCCCTGGCCTGGGCCCTCATGGAAGGAGGAAGGGGAACAAAGACTCCTGAATAAGCCAGTCCTGGGAGCCCAAGGCCAGGGGAAAGTTGGCAGGTGCTAAGGAAAAGGGTGGGACAGAAATGTACCTCCCAGACAAACACAAACACTGGGCCCACCCAGACAGCAGAGGACAGTGGCCTCACTGTCACTGTGCTATGGGCTCTCTGGGACGTCCACCCACCCTCATGAAATGTGTCTGTTTAGCTCATTACCAGCAGAGAAGCAGAAAGTTTGTCTTTGTTTGTCTTTTAATTTTGGTTTGGGACCACACCTGGCTGTGCTCAGGGTCTACTCCTAGTACTATGCTCAGGAATTGGAGCCTTATGTGGTGCTGGGCATCAAACCCAGGCGAGCACCCATCCACTCTACTCTCTCTGCCCAGAAGGAGAAAGGATGTGAAGTAGCTTGTGGGATTTAGAAGAGTGGAGTAAAAGATCAAACCTAAATAAATCTGGGGGAGAGGCAGAAACTGCATTTGGAAAGGAAAGTCAAGGGCAGCTGTTTCAGGAAATACAGGGCTTGGATTTGAACCTTTTTCAGTTAACCTGCATGTCAGATGGGAAGCTCCATCAGGACCAACAGTGTTTACCCTCTCTGAGAGAGTAACTCTGGCTGATTCAATCAGGAGAGCAGGCCTTTCCACCGGGCCAAACACATGTCTGCATAAAGGGGGGATCCTGGAAGCACCTGTGCCCACCCAGCACTGCTCGGGTTCTTGGTGATGAACATGATTTCTTTTAGAGCACAACTTACTAGGGCCCGAGAGAGCACAGAAGGTGGGGCACCTGCTTTGTACGCAGCTGTTACCCTGCATGGTTCCCCTAAGTACCCCAGGTGTGATCTCTGAGTGCAGGGCCAAAAGTAGGTACTGAGCATAGCAGGATGTCACCTCAAAACCCCAAAATGAAAAGATTTAAGAATTTTTAAAAATGAAGCACAATACTTCCTAATTTAGGAAGAAGTGTTTAAGCTTAGGTATGGCTTGCCATGAAGGAATTCAAAGCATTTTCACAGCGTGGTGAAGGTTAGAAGAAAGTTCCTCTAACACTGGAGCTAGTGATGGGCAACAGGGAAGGGGGGATTTTTGGCTGATGTGCTGACTCAGGCACTCGCTAAGGGCTTCTAAAAGGGCAAGTGACATCTCTAGCACTGAGCCAGGATCAAAATCCCCTTTCATAAGAACAGAAATTGCTCAACTCCAGTGCTTAGTGCTCTGTCTGAAAGTGCTTCCTTCAGCCCCTCCTGTCTTTCTGCCACACGTAACAGGGTCTGAAGAGTGAGCACACTGCTACAGAAGCACAGGGCTGTGCGTGCTCGGCCAGGGTCCCTCGTGCTCACTCAGTCAGGGTCCCTCGCCTTGCTTGGCCAGGGTCCCTCGTGCTCACTAGGTCAGGGTCCCTCTTGCTCGAACAGGGAGGGCACAGTTACCTGCAGGCTCACAGAATCTGAGGCCAATGTTGAGTTCATTGAATTGAAACTGTCCAGGGCTGATGACTGGGCTTGGATGTGATGCTCTAGATAGTTCTGCTGAGCCTGTGAGACCTGCAAGATCATGGAGACAGTCACCCCAAATCAGTCTAAGTATATCCACAACAATCATCACTTTCACACATCGGAGCTTCACCCTGATTGGAGCTACATCCTTGTCCCTGAGTTAAACTCAAAACTCAACGTCTGAGTGCACAAAAAGTATAGTTAGGGTACTTGCCTTGCACACAACCAACCCTGGTTCTACCCCCAGTCCCCCATAGGGTCCCCCAAGACCTGCCAGGAGTGCAGGGGTGAGTCACGAGTACAGAGCAGGAACAACATCCCCCTCCCCCACCAAAAAAAAAAAAAAACTAAGCTAAAATAAAATAAACCATCAAATATCTGCTTGAAACAAGGTGCAGAACGGCAAGAAAATTTCTGGGACAATATTTACACAGTCCCCACAGGCCTAACAGCTAGAATATTCCCCCTCCCTTATCAAGAGAGAGAACGGAGTGGGAAGAGCCATGGCTCTGCCCACAGCAGCATTGCAGAGGCACAGCCAGGGTGTCACCCTGTCCCAACTTACTCTTCCCACACACCACAGAATGTTCTCTGGGCTCATCAAATTTTTCCATTGTCACTGTGGCAGTCAAAGTGGCTTCCTTGCTGGGTGTATGCACTCAGTGTGCTTGAGGGCGTGTCCTTAGAGACTACTTAAATTAGGGGGACTGTGAAGCAGGCGATCAGTCAGAGATGGGGGGAGGCCCCGGGTGGACCCTTATGACCCCAAGGGGAAGGGTCAGGGAAGGGCACTTCCATGCCTGAGATGGGGAGTGGCCCAGGAGGCAGCCCTGGGAAGCAGCGGCAGTGGCATGTGTACGCATCTCTGGAGAGACTACCCTTTGGCTTTAATTACAGCCATCAGCATCTGTCAATGGATGTCAGGACAGATTTCCATATGTAGCTGAGAATTTCACAAATGCAAATGCCACCTGAGACTGAGAGAGGTAGAAATGTTTATAATAATGAAGGCATCAGCCTTACTCAAGCAGATAATCTTGTGGCCCAGCCATCCACTAAACTCTAATGTGTGGCTGTCGTAATTATGGTTCTTTGCTTGCAGAAATTAACAATTAACATGGGCGTTCTCCTATGATTATTAATCACAAATATTCAGTCAAAAAGAATTATTTTTTCTTAAATTTTTAAATAGCTAATATATTCATATCACTCAAACATATTTTTAAATAGTAGTTTAGGTAACACGATTATAACAGTATCATCTCTTTTATTTGTTTGGTTGGGGCTCAGGGCTTCCTCCTGTCTTTGTACTCAGGGATCACTCCTGGCAGTGCCCAGGGTATTCCTCAGTGATAAGGATAAAACCCGGATGGGCATGTGCAAGGTAAACCCTAGTACTATCTCTCCTGCCCAGTAGCTGTTTGTTTTCTTGGGCTTTTCTACTGTCAGATCAAATAGTTCATAAATAGGGATCATTTTACCCCACGTGTCTGAGTTTTATACCTTAAAATATGCTTAATTTCATAGACAAGCTGTATTGGTGATAGCTGGTTTCCTTGTATTCCTGATTCTTTGGGGAATACCATGGAATTTAATGATTATTCATTCTCGCCATATAAAATGTTTCTTTAACCACATTTCTTCTTGTGCTAAAGTCCTTCCATTCATTTAAAGTATGATTCATTCTTAGGGGGCCATCATAAGCTCAGATAGAAGAGAAGGGGGCACTCGGCACACCTCCACTTCCCGTGTCCCGTCTCAGAGCCACTTACCGACAGCTCCTGGGTGAGTTGGCGAATCTTCTGCTTCATTTCATCATAGTCTCCATACATTCGCTTCCTTACTTTCTCCAAAGTGGCTCTCACCTGCGATCCACAAAGACCAGTCAGTGATCAAACAGAACTGCTTCAAGTGCAATTTTTAATACTTAAGAGACTCTAATGAGAGATGGGTCCCACTCTAAGAAAAAAAATCTCAAAAAATAGGACAGTTTGAGAAATTAAAAAAAAAGAGAGATCACTTTTGTTATGTAGTTTGAAACCAAGACAGGAATCCAAAAATAATAAGTATATTATAACACAACTAATTATCCAAATAATAAACTCTAAAGAAAATCTTTTCATTTTTTGCTTCTCAACACTAATTTTTAAATAAAATCTAGACAAGTTTTGCCTTTTTTCTTATCTCACATTTTCACAAGTAGAAAAATAATTCCACTAGTTTAAAAAAATATATGTTTTAAGTTGACTCTGTAAACATGTGGCTTACGAACACCAAAATAGGGGCTGCAATGATAGTATAGCAGTACTATACAGTGATAGCATACTGATAATACAGCACTATCCTTGCATTAGGCCAACCTGGGTTTGATCCCCAGTACCACATATGATCCAAGTACCTCATATGGTCCCAGTACCTCCCATGGATCCCGAGCCTGCCAAGAGTGATCACCTCGACACAGATAGGAGTAAGCCCTGAACACCACCGGGTATGACCCCAAACAAGAAAACACCAAAATATCCAAAAGCAAAAAACAACCTCCAATTTCCCCCAGCTCTACTCTGACAAGGAACAATTTAATGTCAGGACTATGAAAGAGGAGCCCCTGAGGACCTAGGCATGGAGGAATCTATTCCTAGTAGCCTGGGACACAAGAAAGAAAAAAAGCAGTCAAAAGAGTCTTGATCCCCAACACATCCATCGCCACCAACACAAATTAGTTTAAGATTCTCCATGGCAAATGATCATGCTGGACAAGACCTGAATGTTAAAAGTAGGTAAAAGGATATACATATTATACCTATGCATGATAAAACTTTCAGTATCTGTATCTCAAAGCACAATGTCGGAGAGAGAGAGAAGAAGAAGAAAAGTGCCTGCCATAGATACAGGCTTGAGGCGGGGGAGGGGGGTGCAGGGGTAATGGGAGGGAACCTGAGGACACTGGTGCTATACACTGGTAGAGGGATGGGTGTTGGAACACTGTATCACTGAAACCTAATCAGCTTTGTAAGGGTCAAAAATAAAATTAGATTAAATTAAAAAAGAATTCTCCATGGAGTATCTTCAAGAACTTTACCAATAGCCCTGTCTCCTCCTTCCGGCACCCCAAAATAGAGTGAGCTTAAGATCCTCACATAGCACAGGAAGGCCCACAGTGGGGGCCTCATTATAAGAACCTCCGTTAGAAGGAAAAGTCAATGACAGCAGTTTCAGTAGAACAGATAGTATGGGTGGGACAGTATAGCGCAAGGCTATATGATCATGAGCCCACCTCTCCAGAGCAACACATTATTTTGTATTAGACAGGCAAGATTAGTGGGGAGGATCGGGAGCAAGATGGGGTGTCAAGACACCAAGTCACATCCAGAGAAACCTATAACCTATTTAATAGAAATAACTTTCTTGCCCTTCACTACAAACATTTTGGAAAGAAAGGGCCAAACTCACAGCTTTTCCTTCCGGCCTCCATTGAGGGCCGGAGTCGGCTGACTAGCAGAGGGTAGGAAGGACTCGGGGGCGGGGGTTGGGGGGGAGTGGTCATTCCCACTAGAAAACGCTGCAGGAATCCACCCAAGCACAGTCACCTGCAAGCAAGCGAGGAAGGGCAAATAAACCCATGCACGCACCCGGGAGTGGATAGGCAGGGTTTACTGGAGGCCAGTCAGAGGAAGGTGGGACCTGGAAATTACTTTTAAATTGCAGATCATGGCAGAGGTTGGCATTTCGGGTCAAAACCACCCCCACAAGCTGGGTGTGTGCCATCCAGAGGCACGAGCAGCCTGAATCTCTTCTTTTTGTCTTGGGCAATTCACCCCATGCTCTGCTTGGAAGGTCTACTTTGACTGCAGGTCACTGTTTTCTGGGGCATCTGAGCACAGAACACCTAACTATTTCCATGAGAAAAAGACAGGAGAATAGAGGTGTTCAAGTAGCCCCTGTACTGGAAAATGGGGAATGAAATACTCTGAAAGGCTAAAATGTATCTTTGGCGGCTTGATGACTGGAGATACTAGGCTAGTTAGGGTGGAGGTGTTGTGTGCATTGATTGTATTGGCATGTGGCTTTCTGCGTTTTCTTAATTTTCTCTGTTGAACAGTTATTCCTGGCACTGATGGGTATAGCCCTGATAGCTCCCAGGACCCATGGGAGGCCTCCATCAAAGGAACATACTTAAACTTCACACACAAATAAGAAGAAGGCAAATAAATAAATGGGCAAACATAAGAAGGGGAGGAAGAAAGGGAGGGAGGAAGCGGGGAGGGAAGGAGGGATGGAGGGAAAGAGGAAGGGAGGGAGGGATGAAGGGAAGAAGGGAGAGAGGGAGAGAGAGGGAAGGAGGAAGGGATGAAGGAAGAAGTGAGCGAGGGAGAGAGGGAGGGAGGGAGAAAGGGATGAAGGGAGGGAGGGAGGAAGGGATGAAAGGAGGGAGGGAGGGAGGAAGGGAAGAAGGGAGAGAGGGAGGGAGGGAGGGAGGGAGGGAAGGAGGGAGGGAGGGAGGGAGGGAAGAAGTGAGAAGGGGAGGAAAGGGAGGGAGAGGAGGGAGGGAGGGAGGTGGTTGTTTTGAGTTCCCTTTACTATAAACACCAAGAAAAAATTGACTCTACTTAGTTAACTGTGCATATTCCCTACAGCCCAGAAAGAATACCTAGATAATGAAATCTGGAAGTCACAGAATACATACTTTAAAATGTTGTAATGCATAGGCAAAATTTTAATCATACGCAAAATTAAAGAGAACACTATAATGAACTCCATACACTCAACAATCATCAACTCATTGCCAATCCTATTTCATCTAATTCCTAACTATATCCTCCTTCCCCAGAATATTCTGATGAAAATCTCACCATAATTCTATCCACAGTTTAGTATGTATATTTTAAAAACAGAGAGGCTGGAGAAACAGCTCAACAGGTTGTACTCAGGTTGTATGGGGGGGGGGGGGGGGGTCCACGTTTGATGACCACGCAACACAGTCCCCTGAGCAATACGTAGGCAACCCCGAGCTGTACTGCTGAGACATAACCCTGACCTCCAGAAGCTATTCATTTATAGGGGCGGCAGCCTTTGGTCACAAATGGCAGTGCTCAGGGGCTGTTTGCAGCTCCATGGCTCCTTTAGTGATGGTTAGGGATCTATGCTGCAGAGGGTTGAACTTAGGCCTCTCGCATACAGGGCATGTATTCAGCTCACTGAGCTTTCTCTGTGACCTTGAAAGTGTTCATTTTAATTTGTTCCAATGTATCAGTAATTTATGTTTGAGAAAACTTTCTGTATTTTGAAGAATGATATTATATAATTTTCTGATGTTTAAAATTTTTTGCTTTTGGGTTATGATTTTAAAGATTAAAAAAAATTAGTGAAGCCAAAGCTGGAGTGATATCACAGCGGGTATTGTGTTTGCCTTGCACACGGCCGATCCGAATTCAATTCCTCTGCCCCTCTCAGAGAGCCCAGCAAGCTACCAAGAGTATCCCACCCGCATGGCAGAGCCTGGCAAGCTACCTGTGATGTATTTGACATGCCAAAAACAGTAACAAGTCCCACAATTTGTTGTGAGACATTACTTGTGCCCACTCGAGCAAATTGATGAACACAGGAGGACAGTGCTACACTGCTACAGAACAATTATCATTTTTTAAAATAAAAAAATTTCATTTTTTATTTCTTAAAAGTATACAAGAATTGGGCCATAGTGGTACAACAGGGGTAATCCTGCACACAGCCACCAAACCCTGACTGAAATCCCATCTCCCCTCTACACAGCCACCAAGCCCCAATTCAAACCCCACGTACCTGCACACAGCCACCAAACTCCAATTCAAACCCTAGTACCTCGCAGGGTCCTCTGAGCCCTACCAGGAGTGATCCCTAAGCACAGAGACAAGAGTAAGCCCTAAGCATAGCTTGGTGTGGCAAAAAAATAAATAAATAAAAAGTATACAAGCATTGAAATCTTGCAAGACACATTTTTAAAGTATCCAAAGCATTTACTACTTTTGAGATCCAATAAGAGATGTTCCCCTATAAAAGTTAGTAACAGACATATTATGTCTTATCCACAAACCAAATAAAATGGGGCTTACAGAACTGGAGATTCTGACCTCAACAGTTCCTTTCCAACTCCTACTCTTTTGACCTTAAAAGCAAGCCTAGAGAGAGCAAAGATTGGATAGGAGGTGAGCCCTACATTCACAGGCCTCTGCTGCTGTCTCCTGCAGATCGAGAGACATGCTAGTCAGTCTGTGACCTGGGTCGGACCACCTCAGAGCAACACAATCACAACAGCCCTGTCAAAAGGGTCAATTAACTCAATCTACAGAAACCACAAGAACCAAAAAGGAATGAAGAGGGGAGACAGAGAGGAAAACTTTGAAGGAAATGCCCCAAATTGTTCACAGTTGTTCTTGTCCAATGCTAGAATGATGGGTACTTTGTGTTTTACTTGAGACACTTTTTGTATTTTCCAGAAATGATGATAAATGCAATATCACATTTATTTTGACCTGGGTTGAACAATGTTCACTATGACTGGCTTCCCAGCATCACTTTCAACCCAACTGGACGAGCCAGCTCTGGACACCCCATCCCCCTTGTCGGCTGGGAAGGGGCAGGGATCTAGCACTGACCATGAGGAGGGCTGCTGAGGAGCATCCAGAGATGAGAGGCCTTTCTGCTTCTAGACGCTGACCTGTTCAGATGATACCATGAGTCTGAAGCTGAAGGAGGCCAGGCCCCAGAGATATTCAGAGAAAAAGATCCAAAACCTGGAAGCTGGCCCACTTAGCCTTAGAACCTACATACCCTATCCCACTTGAAATAAATGGCCTCTTAAAGCTGGTTTTTTTGTTTCGTACATCCCAAAGAATCCAAATTTATACACTTGTTCATACTCAAGTATCAGGAGTGTTTAACACAATAAGCAAGTCCACTAAAGAGTTTCCCTTCAGGGGATTGAGAATAGTACAGTGGGTAGGGCACTTGCCTTGCACACAGCCAACCCAGGTTCAATCCCCAGCATCCCATATGGTCCCTCAAGCACCACCAGGAGTGATCTCTAAGTGCAGAGCCAGGAATAACCCCTGAGTATTACAGGGTGTGCGCTCCCAAAAGTTCTCCCTTTATATATAGAAGGAGACCATAGATCTCCTACTTAGTAACATCCAGAAGTTCACACCACACCCCACTGCAAAATTAGACTGTACTTTGAACATGAGGCAATGAGGATGTGTGGCAACATCTTCATCCAAAGTAATGCTAAGGTCCAGTCCCCACAGTAGGTTACCAGCATCAGGCCATCCCAGGGGGGAAAGGGTGCTGTCCCTCCGCCTGCTCCCCCTTGGTGGCTCGATGGTCACCATCCTCCAGAGGCCATTGGACAGTCAAGTTTGGGCCCGCAGTGACAAGACACTCAGGGCCTCACAGGATGGGGTGGAGCCGGTCCTTTCCTCCCCGCCCTAATGAAACCCCCAAGCTGCCACCCACAAACGGCCTCTCTGTCTCCTGATCAAGCTGCTTAACGGCCATGATCCCAGAGACTCAGGAACAAATCTCGTAACCCAGCAGGTTTTGGCAGAAATCCCTCCAGATTTAATTGTTAAAAATTTGGAATTCCAAAATCGCGTGGCCACTACTGCAGCCACGCAACAATATGTTATTCACAGCGGTAGGGCGTTGCACGCAGCCAACATGGCCGACCCAAGTTCGATTCCTCCGCCCCTCTCGGAGAGCCCGGCAAGCTACCGAGAGTATCTCGCCCGCACGGCAGAGCCTGGCAAGCTCCCCGTGACGTATTCGATATGCCAAACACAGTAACAACAAAGTCTCCAATGGAGACATTACTGGGCCCGCTCGAGCAAATCGATGATCAATGGGAGGGCCTTTACTTTTACTTTACTAATCAGCAATAGAAAACAAATTGTCTATTGTTGCCTTTTCGGCAGATCTGAGTGTTGGGGTAAAATCCCAAATAATAATGGTGGGTCTGGTGTTGAAATATTGAATGAAATCAAAGTGGAGAGGGAGTAATGTGAAAATCGTCTGCCACACAGGTAGGGGAGGGGATGGGATGGGGTATACTGGGGTTTTTGATGGTGGAAAACGGGCACTGGTGAAGAAACAGGTGTTTCATCACTGTATGACTAAAACTTAAACCCGAAAGCTTTGTAACTGCTCTCACAGTGATTCAATAAATAAATTTATAAAAAAAAAAAAAGAAGAAAAAAAGCAAGGTGGAGTTTATGCCCAATTCAATCAGCCTAATCAATGGCTGAATAAATGGCAATACTTCTACATTAAAAATTTTTTTAAAAAGAGTAATGCTAAGCATCCTTTAGAAATTCCCTACCACGCTCACATCATTGCTTCCAGGTCCGCCCTCGTACCTACTCCAAAGTAACATAAACTAGGTTAGCGGCAGGGGTATGTGTGGGGGGATCCTAAAAGGACTCACATCTTTGATGTAGTTCATCTCTTCTTTCAGCTGATTGGTGGACCACCCGTACACCACCATTTCTTTCTGTTGGTTTTGGTCTGATCTTCGCACCACACCATAGACAACACCCTGAGGAAGTTTCCTGGTCTGATCTTCATTGCTGAGGTCAGGAGGCTGAAAGAACAGGAAAGGAGGAGAAAAGAATGATTCTTTGGGCTTCAGAAAAACATCTGTGACAACCACTCACCATGTATAGTGATACAAGCTGTGACCACAGCCAGGAGGGCACCCGGCAAAGGGAAGTGGTTCATAGAAATCCACCCTGGTCTTCATGCACCAAGTGGTGCCTGGCATGAGCTGAGTCAGCCTTCACCTTGGAGACAAGCCACTTCCTCCAGTTCTTCTTTAAGACCTCCTCTTAGGGCCGGAGCAATCACACAGCAGGTCCTTGCACACACCCAACACAGGTTCTATCCCCAGCAGTCTGTATGGCCCTCCAAGTCAGCCAGGAGTATAACCCCTGAGCACCACTAGGTGTGGCTCATAAACCAAAAAATAAAAAAGAACATGTTCTCTTTAGCTCTAGTAGTTTGTCTGTAGAGCTTCATCTTTGGCAGAAAAAGGCAGGGGCAGGGATTGGAGGGGGAAGTTTTTCCAAATTCTCACAAAAGTGCCAGATGCACTTGTGTGTGCATCTGATAATAAGAATGATAATTAGAGTGAGTACCAGAACTCTCATACTCTGGGGAATGCCACTTTCCTTCTTTGCTAATTTCTCTGTATGTCTTCACACTCATCTCAACACATGAAATGTACAAGGTAGGGGGGGAAATGCCAACTACCACTGAACAGACAAATTGGCACAACTCGGGGCCAGTGCTAGGAAAGTGGGCAATGGAGCACTCTCCCCGCGGGACTGTTCATGAACTCCTCCTGAGAGCCAGGAGGAAACAGTGTGCCCCTGCTCACAGAGAACCTGCCCACGCTTTGAATCAAAGCTTAATCAGTGTTGACATGCAAGTCCCCCTGGATGGGAGCAAGGCCACACACTGACATGCCTACTGGAGATAGGAGGAAGAGGGATGAAGGTTTGTGGAGCATTTGCTATGAGCTAGGAATGTTCTTTTTTACTTTGAATCTTCATGGCGACTTTGTGACTGAGCAACTGTCCTTGCTAGAGCAGAGAAAACTCAAGTAAATGATGGTTTAGCACCTTGCTTAGAGTCCCATACCTAGAGTCAACCCAATGTTGTGTGACACTGAGGGCCCCCAAACTGGAGGTTTTATTAGATGTTTTAAAAGGTAGGGGCCCCCATAACATACATTAAATGGATTCCATAAGCAAGCACAGTGCCTTAGTAGGCAGTTCGACCTCTGCCAGCCTTCCCCAGGGAAGCAGACATTTTTAATAAGCCACAACACAGATGCCCGAATCCCAGAAAGGTATCACTTGCCTCCCTCTAATCTCTAAACCATTGCCCCACAGTGTATTTCCATGTACTTGCGAAATATCATTACAGTCCCCTCCCAGAAAAAAAAAATTGTGATTCATGATCATTCACTGGGCTGGAGCAAATAGCACAGCAGGTAGGGCGTTTGCCTTGCACACAGCCAACATGGCCAACCTGAGTTCGATTCCTCCACCCCTCTTGGAGAGCCCGGCAAGCTACTGAGAGTATCTTGCCTACACGGTAAAGCCTGGCAAGCTACCCGTGATCTATTCAATATGCCAAACACAGTAACAAGTCTCACAATGGAGACGTTACTGGGCCTGCTTAAGCAAATCGATGAACAATGGGATGACAGTGCTACAGTGCAACAGATCATTCACTGGGGTAGAATAATAACTGGGATGGAGTGATAGCACAGCGGGTAGGGTGTTTGCCTTGCACACGGCCAACCCGAGTTCGATTCTCCCATCCCTCTCAAAGAGCCCGACAAGCTACTGATAGTATCCCGCCTATATGGCAGAGCCTGGCAAGCTCCCTGTGGCATATTCAATATGCCAAAAACAGTAACAACAAGTCTCACAATGGAGACGTTATGGTGTCCGCTCGAGCAAATCGATGATCAACGGCAGGACAGTGCTACAGTGCTACAGAATAACTACTTCATGATCCAATTCATTTGACAATTGCCAAAGCCAAGCCAAGGAGAGAACAAATCATTCATAGTAAGAGGCTCCGAGAGGAGTCGTAGGATGGCACGGGGTGCTGGAGACAGACAAGAAGGGGGAGATGGCTGTCACTGTTCCCCTCAGATTCTTTTATATTGTGTGATTATAACATAAGCTTATTCCTGGCTCTGCACTCAGGGTTCCTGCCTGGCAAGCTCAGGGAACTATAGGGGGTGCCGGGTATTGAACACAGGTCAGCCACATGTAAGGCAAGTGTCCTGTCTGCTGTGCTATTGCTTTGGCTCACACGACCTTCTTTTTGAGAAAGGAACTCCTAAAAGTTCTGGAGGCCAAGAGCCCCTCTCAGCACTGCTCAGCCAACCAAGCAGGCAGTTTTGTGCAAGGGTCTGATGCACTCTACCTATGCTCAGGAGCCTCCCTGGCCACATCCAGAGGTGCTCAGGAGAGCTCCAGGAATGTACCCAATGATGCTCAGGGGACCATGGGATGACAAGAATTGAATTGGGCCAGCCATATGCAAGGTATGGGCCTTAACCCCTGTTCTTTCTGAAAAGTGTAACATGAACTTTTTTTTTTAAGTATAAAACAAAATACCTGTTACTTGCCATCCTTGGGAAGAGAAGCTATGTTGGAAATCACCCTTTTAAAACAGGCCATAGGGACAGGGCAAAATCTGTGTTAAGAGGAAAGTTTATAGTTCTACAAACATTCCTCCGGAAGGAAGAGATAGCCCACATAAGTAACCTAACCTCACAGCTTAAGAGCTTGGAGAATGACCAACAAAAGAGCCTAAACCAGCCAGAAGGAAAGAAATAATTAAACTCAGAAGAGAAATTAACAAAATGGAAACCCAAAAAACAATCCAAAAGATCAATGAAACCAAGAGCTGGTTCTTTGAGAAAATAAACAAAATCAATAAACCACTAGCAACACTCAGAAAGAGAAAGAGAATCCTAATAAACAGAATCAGAAATGAAAAGGGGGACATCACATCAGAAACCACAGAAATTCAAAGGATTATCAGAGATTACTTTGAGAAGCTTTATGCCGCAAAACAAGAAAACCTCAAAGAAATGGACAAATTCCTGGACTCTTGTAATCTACCAAAGTGGACCCAAGAATACTTGGAATACTTAAACAGACCTACCACCATCAAGGAAATTGAAATAGTAATCAAAAGTCTCCCTAAAAACAAAAGCCCTAGCCCAGATGTATTCACTAATGAATTCTTCCAAACCTTTTTAAAGAGAACCCACTCCCAATACTGTTCAAGCTTTTCCAAGAAATTGAAGAAACAGAAACACTTCCAAACAATTTCTATGAGGCAAATATCACTCTCATATCAAAAGCAGACAGACACCACAAAAAAAGAGAATTACAAGCCGATATCCCTGATGAATACAGACACAAAGATCCTCAACAAAATACTAGCAAATAGAATCGATCAACTTATCAAAAAGATCATACACCATGGCCAAACAGGATTCATCTTGGGGATACAAGGATGGATCAACGCTTGCAATCAACATAATATACCATATCAATAAAAGGAAAGATAAAAACCATATGATCATATCAATACATGCAGAGAAGGCATTTGACAAGATCCAGCACCCATTTATGATTAAAAAAAAAAAACAACTCTTAGCAAATTGGGAGTCGAAGGAACTTTCCTCAATTAAGGAAAGTTAATTGACAAGCCCACAACAAGCATTATTCTAAATGGGGAAAAACTAAGAGCCTTTCCTCTAAGATCAGGAACAAGACAAGGTCGCTCACTCTCGCCACTTCTATTCAATATGGTACTGGAAGTACTTGCTGTAGAAGTCAGACAAGAAAAAGGTATCAGGGGTATCCAGATAGGAAAGGAAGAAGTCAAGCTCTCTCACTATTTGCATATGACATGATACTAAGAAAATCCTAAAGACTCTATAATAAAGCTCCTAGAAACAGTAGGTTTGTATAATTAAGTGGCAGTTTACAAAATCAATACCCAAAAGTCCATGGCTTTTCTATTTACAAATAATAAAAGAGAAGAAAAAGATGTTAAAAAAAACTCCCGTTCACAATAGTGCCTCAGACATCCACCTGCCCTCTAGGAACTCGGGCAGCCACCATTTTCTAGAAGTTAGCAATAAGCTCCAGGTACAAGTGGCAGTGGCGCCAAATGTCAGGTCTCACGGGACAGGGGAGGAGTGGGCACTCTCCCTCCCCACCCCCATGGGACTCTGAGATGATGCCACATCCGGCCACCATCTACTTAAGCTCCCACACGGCCAGGATCCAGAGACACACAAATGAACCTCGAACCTGAGCAACTTGCTGCTGCGGTGACCTCTTCAGACCCTGTAGCACTGCACTGTAGCACTGTCCTCCAGCTGTTCATCAACTTGCTCGAGCAGGCACCAGTAACGTCTCACAACAAATTGTTAGACTTGTTACTGTTTTTTGGCTTATTGAATACGTCATGGGGAGCTTGCCAGGCTTTGCCGTGCGGGGGAGATACTCTTGATAGCTTGCCAGGCTCTCTGAGAGGGGCAATCGAACCAGGTTGGCCATGTCGGCCGCGTGCAAGGCAAACTCCTTACACACCATGCTATCGCTCCAGCCCCTTCAGACCCTAATTATTAAAATTTTAGAATTCCTATAGTGCACATCCACGTGACATTATATTGCATCCAAAACAAACAATACAAAACACATTGTCTAGCATTGCCTTTTTGGCAGGTATGAGTGGTGGTGGGTCTGATCTCGAAATATAGAAGGTAACTAAAGTAGAGAAAAAGAGTAATGTGCAAATTGTCTGCCACACAGGCAGGGGGAGGTGTGGAATGAGAAGAAGAAGGGATATTGGGGATTTTGGTGGTGGAAAATGTGCACTGGTGAAGGGATGGGTGTTTGATTACTCATGGTGAATCAATTAAAAAAAATAGTGCCTCAGAAAATCAAGTACCTTGGAATTAACTAAAGAGGTGAGGGACCTATATGAAGAAAAGTACAAAACACTAATTCAAGAAATAAAAGAGGACATTAAGAA